CTCGTTCTTCAACAATAGGCAACTGGTTACAGATAAGCAGAGCCATTTACCATTTATTCAGGTTCCATTCAGATGGAGAATGTGAAAAAAAAAAATCTAATTCTATTACTGTTACCACTAACACACCAAATTTAACACAAAAAGTGAAGTTTTTTAACTGCTTCCTAATTAATCTGCTTTGAAGGTGGTTTATATTGACAAAAACTAAAAGTACTTTTGGAATTCTGCCCTTTATTGGAAAAAAGTAGCATGACTATCATGGGATAGATGTAAAAAAGCTTGTTTTGATTTCATATCCACTCTCTGAACTAAGGCTACAGATCCCAGCATAAGTTAGAGGCATCAAACTATAAACCCTTACCATGCCGAGTTGAAAAAATTAAGCTCCACTAACCAACTGCCAGAATGCGTAGGCTATTAGTGTCCAACTGTATCAATGCTTCATTGAAAATGTCTTTCCCACTTTCCAGCCAGAGTGAATTACAGAAGTATGCAGTTTCAACAGGCTCAAATTTTAGCCCTTTTTGTTGATGGGTTTAAAAACCATTGCACTGGTGTGCAATTAACTGTACTTGTGAAACAGCAAAGGAAAATAACAATGCATATAAAGCCACATTTTTTCCTCTTCCTCTGTAGTTCTTCATCTTTAAACTAGTTTCCCTGAAAAGTAACCTAAGCTATATTTTATACCTCTTGTGATTTTTAAAATCTGTTTGATTATATGTACCTAAAGCATTTTTCATTGAAGTGACAAAATCCTAATTTCTCTGATTCAATGAGAGTTTCATCATTTCGCTCAGTGGGACAGAATGAAAAGCAATGTAAAAAAAGTCTTTTGTTTCTACTTATTTTAGTTGGAGGAAAATGGTCACACTTCCAACAAAAGGAGCAACTGACTAAAATTCTAGTGGGATATAAATAATGAGCCATTTATATAAATGCACACAAGAGTAAAGCAGCAACTGTCTTCTAAGACTTTTCAGTCTTGGACTTTATACACAAAAAGGTACTTCATTGTTTCACTTTACACAAGTCTATTTTCCTGAAAATCTCTGCTACATCATTACTTCTCACTGATGGTGTTTCTCAGATGCCCAGTTTTGGTAAGGTAGCCCTGCAATTCCCTGTCTCTCTTTTTTTTTTTTAGGTACTGAAACATGGAGAATAAAAAAGAACAATAACCTTCCCCAGCGTGAAACACAGAAGAGCAGAGGAGATTACTGAACAACAACAACAACAAAAAAACGCTTCTTTCTCAGGTCTTTTGGTCATTCTTTTCAAAAAATGCCAAGTGCTCCTTTTAATATTTCTGTCACCAAAAGACCAAAGTAAGAAAACTGAGTGATACAAACATGTTCTGCTACTGCTGCAGATAAAAGGTTTCAAGTAGCTCTGTATTACAGATATCCATCTCATTTGGCTAGCTGTACAAAAAAATAAGATAAAATTGATTTTTAAGAAAAGGCACCGAGGCAAAGTCATGAAATTTAAAATTATTAATCCTGCAATAAAGTTTGGGAAAGAGAATGTAATTCCATTTATACTAAGAGACCAGTATAATCTGACTACTTCAGTACTAAGTTCAGTCATCAGGTCCACTTGAGCTGCTCCTGACAAGATTCACCCATGTGAAAAGCAATTACATATATACACCATTACTGTGGCGTGTATAAATGGTTAATGGTGGAATAGAGTAACAACTTCATGCTGCACAGTTACACTGAAGTCTCAACATGGAAGTTTAGAACAGCATTTATTCTCACAAACTTCACAAAAAGTGGACACCCAGGAGCTAATCTAACTAGTGAGTAGGATAACAGCTGTGCAAAACATCTGTTCAGTAGTTTAATTCACTGATGTTGTCAGTATTTCACCTTTCCACACAATTGATAGTCCACTTATTACCTTATTACCCAGAGATTGTGGGGGGTTTTGTGTTACTGAGTAAAGAAGAAAAGCAGAAACTTTTCCTTACAATATTTTTATTTTAAAACCAAAGTACTAACTAAAAATAAAGCACTAACTGAAGCACTGTCTGTGATTTCCTCTTATTTCTAGTCAGCTTGGAGAGCATACACAGTTCTATTTTAAAATAAGTATCAAACTTCTCTATGAAGATTTCTAATTCTTAAACTATTGGTTAGTATCTTCGAGTAACTCAAAGGCAGTAACCAGTTAGCAGCACAGAAGTAATACAAGGATTCTGATGGTGAGTATCAAGAATGGATTTCTCTAAATCCTGATAGTAATAACATGTTTGGGATGTCTTCCCACATCTATCATACTCCGCTGCATCAGAAATCTTGACGACAATGTTTCAGAGAACAGGTTCAAGTCCTCTTAAAGGTTTTTATGTAGAACTGTAGTACAAACATTACCTAATAGGATATTCTTCCTAGTCTTTTCTAGAAGTCTTTGGGTTCTTCTTGGGCCCTGTTTGCCAGCCTCATACATAGGTCTGAAACACCTTAGAGTGTCTAAACTGGCACACGATGCCTCTGATTTAATGAATTAGCCCCACTTTTACTCTCTAATATTGCACAAGAAAATTATTCACAATTTCCTCTTTGTTCCAGTATCACAAGATCAAACATGTAGACTAAAAGTAACTGATCTGCTTATAAAGCATAATGGCATCAAATCAAATGGGACGCATCATCATAAGCTAGGGTATCAAGCTCCTCTTACTTCTACTACATTCTCTACCATTATCATAGACAAGACTGACAACAATCTTCTGTTAAACAAAAAAAAAAAAAGTCATGACAGCGACCTTTAAGTTTCAGATTTTTTATACCATAACTTTGTCTGGTTTCAGCAGTTTCAGTGGGAGTTTTCACTGGTTTTCAGCATTTCAGATTTTTGGCTCTTAAAATACACTGAACAAGGCACAAGAAGTTGCAGTTTCCTCCTGCTTTTCCATACATGCACTTTACTCCTTAACCAATTTTCACTTTTCATTTTCCCCTTTTGCCCCCAGACAGGTAGGAGTCAATCAAGAATATACAATCTGTGAGATGTAGCCAAGGTAAGAATCTGCTTATGGCATAGGTAGTCTGTGTCATATAGCCAGCATTCATGGAAATTGGAGCAGAACACTCTGAAAGACTGCTTGGTTCAGGAAAAGTCCAGCAGTGCAGTTAAGGCAGTGAAAAGTTTCACTGAAGTTACTAGGACCTATTGCTATGTGCAATGAACTCGCACCATAGGAGATCATTAGGGCTGGAGGTTGGAACTACACACCTGCTTGAGCGTCAGCACACATCAGCGCTTTCTTAGAGCTTGCTTAGTCCATAGTTCATAGGATTAAATTCAGACAGCCCAACTTTTGTAATGTGATGACTGAGCTTCAATAAAAATGAAATTCTGTTACAATTCCAGCAAGGCTGTATTGGGCAAAACCATTTCTGTCTATGGAATAAAATAATTCTAATATGCTGAACTCTTGCATGGGTAGTCTTTTTTCCAACTTCCATTTGGATCATTGTTGCAATCCAACAAAGGAGCAACAAATAAAATGTGTTTCTATGCCGACAAAATATAAATTATATAGGATTTTATTTTCCAGATTACTACATAAGTACCACATACCTTTTTCCATGAGGGTGTCTTTCTGTGCTCAGGACAAAAATCTAATTATAACTCATGTTTTAAATTACTAAGAATTGTCTTATCTTCTAACAAGTATTTTGCTAAAAGTACATTTCCTGGCAACAGAAGAGGTGCATTAAAATGTTCCAAACCTGAAAGACCCTTTGGCTTAATTATCAAGTAATTTAAGTTATATTCAATGGAATAAGTTATATTCAATGGAAATATAATTTTCTGATATAAACGGGCTTTTTTCCCCCCACATCTTCTGCAAAGCAACACAGAAACAACTAAAGGAAAAAAAAAAAATGCACTATTTCTTTCTATCTGGACACTTACTTGATTTCCATCACATGGACTGGAAGTACCACCTCCTTGTAGAAGAATAACGGAACAGTTGCTAGTTGATCTAGCACCAGGGTTAACCACAAAAGGCAAAACCCTTGCTGATAGAATTTAATTGAACAACATAGTCCTTGTATCCTAAGAGCACTCTGAAGTGCAAGTCCACTACGCTGCTACAGGTTATTTTGTAGTTCATGTTACACAGAATGCTACACTAGAGGATCACTTTCGCCTGAATGGTTTTGCCTTTAAACAGGAAAACCCGTTTTATTTTTCACAACCACTGCATAAAATAGACTAGCAGCGGTTAATGACAGTTAGTCTTAAGTGTCAAGTAGATGCAGCAATTGCAGTCCCAGATCTGCAGAACAGCTGCACGCATATTGAACTGAAGCACAAGCACCGACAATGGTTATGTTAGGAAGGTATGAGAAGCATGTACCACGCACCCAAGCTGTTTGCAGTACTTTTGTTTCAAAGTCTACCTCACCAGTAAGCTGATGTCTAGCCGACCGTGGATTTATTTAGCAGCGAGTTATTTCTAAACGCAAGGGAAGAGGGCAACCCCCGTGTAGTCCCCATCTGCCTCATCCATCCAGTTAACAAGCACACCACCATTTTTTCCTCAAACAAAGGTTAAGGAAAACCCAACTTCTATGCAAAGAGGAAACCCGCGGGGCGGGAGCGGCAAGGGGGGCGAAGACCGGGGCAGCCCCTCTGCAGGGCAGGGCAGGGCTCCCGTCCGGCGGGGCAGGCGATGCCAGCGCGTAAAGTACCTCGGAGCCGAGAGCAGACAAAAGAGGGTGTGTAGCAGCCGCACGGAGCGTGGAAGCCCGCGCCGCTCGGAGGCAGAAAGTCCGTTTCTGGCAGGGCAAAGCCCACCTACCCGTGCCAGCCCGCATCCTGCCCCCAGTCGCCCTAAGCAAGGGCGTGTCTCCCCGTTCCCCGCCACCGGCAGGAACGGACACGGCCCAACCCCTCCGCTGCCGGCCGGCTGCGGGCGGGCTGAAGTTTTGAGGCGACGGGCGGACCTCTCCACACACACCCCCCGCCCCGCCGCTTACCTCTGGGGAGGCGCGAGGTATCGGCAGCCCTCCGCGCCCGGCGGGGCTGCGCGGCACCCGTACCACAAGGGGCTTCTCCGGTGAGGCGGCGGCTGGCTCACGGAGTGACAGGGCGGCGGCTCCCCTCGCCTTTCCCCGGTACCGTCCTCGGCGAAACGCGGGCGGGGGTAGGCATGGTGAACAGGCAGGCAAAGGGGCCGGGGCGGTCACTGCCGGCCGGAGGAGGACGCCCGCCGACCGGGGACTGCGCGCCCCCCCGCCGCCTCTGCACGGCCAGCCGGAGGCGGCCTCCCCCTGCTCGCCCTGCGGCGACGGGCGGGTGCCATAGCAGCGGGCTCCGCGGGCCGCCGGGAGCTGCGGAGGGGGAAACGGCAGTCAGACAGCTGTGGGCGGGCGGCTTCTCCGCGGAGCAAAACTTTCCCGGCTCCTCAGGTCGGTGCCCGGCCGCCGCCCCGAGGGAGGGCAGCGTGAGCCCTGTCCTCACGGCCGCCCCACGGGCCAGGGCCAGCCGCGCCCCTCAGTACCGCCAGAGGCAAAGTTTCACTCCGAGACCTCCGGGCTGCGGCCCCGGCGCCATAGGCACGACGCCCCCATTTCCAGCCACGGCCGGGAGGAGGGTGACGGGCGCCAGCAGAAGCGGCCCCCTCGCCCGCGGAGGCTGCAGCCGGAGCTCTGAGGGGCTAAGCGGGCAGTAGGCAGATCTACTGGAACTAGGGACGAGGAGCCCCGCAGTGGGACATGACGGGACGGCGGCCAGGGAAAGGGACAGGCGGAGCCGCGGGGTGGGAGCGTGGCTCCTTCTCTACCTCCCGGGGAAGTTTCCCTTCTCCCCAGGGAAGAAGCGCGGCGAACAGGCGAGACCAAGCGGCTGGGAAACCTCCCCTGCGGACCCTCCCTCCACCGCTCTGCGAGCAATCCCGCCGGAGTGGCGAATTTGTAGGGCGCCAGGTCCCGCCCCGGCGGGATGAGGGGCCGCGAGGGAGGAGTCGCCGGCAAGGGCGGAGGGAGGAGTGCGGGCTTGGAGGGGGCGCGGCGGGGGCGCTGGGGTGCACCCTTCTCTGCCTTCCCTTTTTCTCCCTTATGTGGAGCCGGACGGGAGCCATGGGAGCTCAGGGTGATTCACCGAGATGGGGGGGGGGGGTTCACCTCAGACGCAACTGCACTTTTATGATTCAGTTCTTCTCTTTTTTTTTCCTTTTTTGCTTAATTTTTGTTGTCGGTTTGGGGGTTTTTGTGATCGCCCGCCCACTCGTCCTGTCCAGCTAGGGAGCTGAACTACCTGCTGCTAGCATCTTCATCAGATGGGGTTGGAAGCGGTAGAGACTCCGGTCTGCATGGGAACTCCACATTTGTAAGTAGAACATACCTTTTTTGTTTTGGGAAAAAAAAAAAAAACAACACTTTGCACTTGCTTTTAGTTGGGAGGTTTTATTTAATTTTCAAAAATTGGTTGGACTTAAGCATTGCTATTGCCTTTTGTGTGACTTACCAAAATTCTACCTAATGCATCTCCCCAGAAGAGATAAAAATGCTGAACTTGGCATAAGCATGTATAAATTTACCTCGGGTAATGCTCTCCTCAAGATAGGTAGTGGCTTAGTAGCTTCCATCCACCCTGCAGTAGGACTTTAAATCCTAAGTGTGTACTGTGGTTGTACAGTGTGTTGTCAGTTCTCAGTGTACATTTTGTAATGATTATACTCCTGCCTCATGGCTGCAATGGCTTCCACATTAAATATACCTTCTGTTACCACCTTATTCTAGCAAGGAGACACCCATGTCAGAAACTCTGGACTAGCAAAGAGAAGAGTAACATTCCTCAGAAGTTTGAAACATTTCCAGCTGTTCGGCATGTTTTGATTCAAGGAACGAAGAATCACTTTCAAGTGTCAGATTTCTCTCTGTTCATTCAGGTATTACTGGATCTGTAATTTGGTTTGTGCATAATGTAGCATGTATTTGATGTCAGCTAGAGCAGGTCTTCAGGCATATGTGTACTTCAGAGATGTCAAACTCCCTAAGGCCCAGCTGTGCATCACAGAGGGAAGGAATAAAAGGATTATATATGCCCACCAAATCCCTTTTAGATGCAGTGTCTTTACAAGTAAAAAATCAGAAATTTTCTCTAGAATTTATGGAAAATGCCACTGTGGAAGAGATGGAAACTTCAGCCTCCGGTGCTGTCAGTAGATGATGAAATGTGGACCAAAGGTGTGATGTGAACCAGTGCCGGTTTGATGACTGCTCTTGCACTCTCTCTTGAAAGGCTGGGACTTGTAAATCTGCAAGGAAAGTGATCTGTTCAGTTCTTGCTAATGACCTCTGCTTTCTCTCCAGTACTGGATGAGGTACAGTATCACCTGTTAAATCATCATCTCTGCAGCAGCAACTAAGCCCCACACAGCCATTTGCTCACTCCCCTGAGGTGGGATGGGGGAGAGAATGACAGGAGTAAGAGTGATAAAACTCATGGGTTGAGATAAAGACAGTTTAATAAGTAAAGCAAAAGCCACACATGCAAGTGAAGCAAAACAAGGAATTCAGGCAGGTGTTCAGCCATCCCCAGGACAGCAGGGCTCCATCACACGTACCAGTTACTTGGGAAGATGAACGTCATCACTTCAAATGTCTCTCCTTCCTTTTCCCCCCATCTTTATACGCTGAGCACAGCATCATATCATATGGAATATCTCTTTGGCCAGTTATCCAGCCTGTGTCTCCTCCCAGTTCCTTGTGTACCCACAGCCTGGTTGCTAGTGGCATTAGGGTGAAAAGCAGAAAAGGCCTTGCTTGACTCTGTAAGCGCTGCTTCAGCAATAATGAAAACATCCCTGTGTTATCAGCTCCGTTTATAGCACAAATTCAACACAGCCCCATACAAGTTACTATGAAGAAAATTAACTACCCCAGCCAAAACCAGCGCACTTCTCTATTCATATTTTCATGCCTTCTCAGATAAATTTTATCCTTTTGTAAGTGCTGGCTTTTAAAATAAATCCTCAGATGATTTATGCTCTCAAACAGCCACCCTCAAAAAAGATCCTAGGCAGGTGACGGGAAGAGCCAGTGTGATTTTGGGGACAGAGTGAGTAAGTTGCAGGACCAATTTCAGTAGCGCTTCAGGGTGAGAAGCATCTCTAGGATAGAATTACCCTTGCATTTGCTGTGTGTGCAAAACCCATATTGCCACTGAACAGCAGGATTTTTGTTTTTACATGTGGCCCATAAATTCTATGTAGGAAAATGTGACAAAAAATTTAAATGACTGTGGGCAACACAATTATACGGGAGATTGCTGTGGATTATGGTACAACAAGAGGGTCTTCCTGTGGGACAGACATCTGGGAGACGTGTCTTTCAAGCAGATGATTTTCAGCTTTGCTTGTTAGTTGTGTTGCCTGGATTCTTCTAAAATTCTATCAGTGAATTTTTAGAGAGGGGTAGTGCCTGTTCCTTTTCCTACTTACAACAGTTTTATACTGATCTTAAGACCATTGATTTAAGGAATTTACTCCTCATCTGCAGTAGAAAAGATGACAGCACTCTTAACTCTTCAGATCTGAGTTGTCTGCACATCTCTGGAGAGTCAGCCAATGTCAAGACCAATATTTCAGGCTTTTAAAGTCAAAACTGATATTGCTAATGCCCATTAAAACAAATATTATAATGCATTAATTATGAAGGTGGTTGCTTTTGAGATTATAGCAAGAATCATTAATAAGCCTCATGAGTGAGATCCTCCCTTTTAATTTATTTAAAAGCATGGAGTACTTTTATTTGCAAGTTGGGATGTTAGTAGTGTTATACTAGTTTCCCTTCCAACCCACACCTTTCTGCTCATAGTATGAAAAGTCATTCATTTGCTGTATAAGCAAGGCTGTGGGAGGATTAAAGTGTAAGCCTATCTTCTGTAAATTTAATGCAATTAAAGAGAAGGCTGGCATTTTCTTTAGTTCTTGCCTTTGGACAGGAACTTCTTCTAAGATCTAGACTCCTTGCTACTTTGACTTTGGCCAGAATTTGACTAGAAATTATGACACTTAACTATCCTGTGTGATAAGGAGGTAAGTGTGAAATGTTCTTAATTTGGAACACAAATGAAATTGAAGGTTGGAAGGATCCCCACTAGAGATGAAGAGGTCTGTCAAGTCTGGACTATTACTGTTTTTATTTTTGCTAAGACTTAATGTGAATAGTACTGAGGATCAGTTATCTTATGCAGCTTACTTTCCACATCATATTAAACTTTTAAAAATACCCTAAAGCTGTTATCTCTTTAATTCTAATTAAGATGTAAAATGAATCTTCAATCCTTCATTTGTTCATACCTAATTTTTTACAGTTTAATCAGTTAGAATTTGAGCTCTCTAAGCAGTGAATATGAGTACCAAATGTTCCTTGTTGTTAATAAATGACATATTAGTCAATAAATAATAAACATGTAACTGCAAAATATGCCTAGGTCTTTGGTTTAATGACTGGTTCCTTCTCCTAAACATACAAAATCTTAAGATCTTTGATCTGTACATGAGAAAATGCTTAAGCAATCAAAGCTCTAAATAGTGTCTAAATATTAAATCACAAGCGTATTATGTGTTATCAGGAAGTACAATCTAGTAAGCAAAATTCAGTCATAAAATACCTGAATCACTCCAATGTTTTCCATCAGGAAATGGGGTTAACAGTTAGGTTTTTCTGTAATATCCTTCTAGAGCACACAAAATGGCATTGTATTCCTTGCTGTATTTTTCCCTTGAACTAAGTGAAATTATTATTAGAGAGGAATGATGCCACAAAGGCTGTTGTTTTAACTTGTGATGCTGTCACTGCCTCCCACTATCTGTCTCTTTGAAAATAAACCACCTTTCCTCTCCATCAGAGGTCTAGAAGCTGTGTCTTTCTTATCCTGTGTCCTTTTCTTATCCTATGCTGTACTGATAGGTTAGCTCCTGGCCAACTGCTAAGGTGTATAACAAGCAATTAGCTCTTTATTCTACGGTGCTCCTGCCTATCAGGAGCTCATGGTAAGTGTTATTAGAGCTACTTCACTGGGTGTCCTTGTAACACTGGTGTGGAAGTCATTTCTATATTGCCCTAAAAAATCTTGAAAGTGGCTAAGCTGCTGCAATGTCGAAACCACCGACTCTCAGGCTGATGAGTTAATTTCCTGATACTAATGGTACATGCCTTCTTTACTCAGCCAGATACTTTTCATGGCAGATAGCATCTTTGGTTTGCATGTGTACCCCACTGTGAGAAATCAGTGAGGTCCCATTCAGCAGAATTATGGTGCAAATGTTTGGTAACAGCAATGTAAGCCGAGAAACATGGGGCCAGGAAAATGTCAGAATCCTCTAAAATGATCCTGGCATGTGTCACTATCTTTATAATAGTTAAGCAGCATGGAATACTGTGTAATTTACCATTTACTGAATTGAGCTTTACCTTGAACACTTTCTGAAGCTAGTGAGAATACAGATAGAAATGGCTGCTTCCAATGATTTGTGGGGTGTCAACAATATTTACAATGCTGGTTTAACTTAATCTTTTCCTGCTTTCCTACAGTCTTAACTTTTTAAAAAAGAATAGACGCTCTGCTCTCCAAGTGTGTAAAAAATGTTTATGTATAAAAATAATCCTTTGAAACTGTGTTACTAGTTTCTGTAAATAGAAAGTCAAATTTTTATCTGCTCAGCATTGAGAATATGTAGGGCTTTTTGTATATAAGGAATTTTCTGGAATATCTGTTCTCTTGTGAACAAGTGAAGTATGAACCAAGAGTTTGAGTTTAGTAGGTTTTAATCTGTCTTGAAGTGGTTTAAGAAATCAGGCTTTCTTAAACATGTTCCAACTCTGTAATAAAAGTTTATTGTGACTTTATTTGAAATGTTTGTCTGAAGAAAGTGTTGTTATATTCTGAATAACTGTATATGTTGGATACATATGTATAATGTTGGTATCTGATAAAACCACACAGAAATCTTACCTAGAAATAGAACCATTATTTTTTATATCCACATGTAGGTGAAGAGACTCTGAATAATACACTGAATAAAGGAAAGAAAGTTAAATGCATATGTCATGGTTTAAGCCCAGCTGGCAACCCAGAAGACCATGCAGCCGTTCGCTCACTCCCTCCCCCTTTCTCCCTCTGCTCCTGGAGAGATGGGGAGGAGAATCAAAAGAATGTAACTCCCACAGGTTGAGATAAGAACAGTCCAGTAACTAAGGTATAACACAAACCACTACTGCTACCACCAATAATAATAATGATAAGGGAAGAGAATACAACCGCTCACCACCCGCTGACCAATACCCAGCCCGACTGAGCAGTGATCTACCCCTTCTGGGTAACTGCCCCCAGTTCTACATCCTGGGCATGACGTCCTGTGGTATGGAATACCTCTTTGGCTAGTTTGAGTCAGGTGTCCTGTCTCTGCTTCCTCCCAGGTTCCCCTCCTCCCTGGCAGAGCATGAGACTCAGAAAGTCCTTGGTCAGACTAGACATTACTGAGCAGCAACTAAAAACATCGGTGTTATCAGTGCTGTTCCCAGGCTGAAAGTCAAAACCATAGCACTGCACCAGCTACTAAGAAGGGGAAAAAAGACTACTACTGCTGAACCCAGGACAGCATATGAACTAGAACTCGTTTAAGGCATAGGATGGTGAAGAAAACAATTCTTCCAGAAAGGTGTATCTTTTATTTTCATCATTGCAATCTAAGCTTTGGTCTATGTCTAGGAGACTTTCTTGAGTTTGCATCTTTAAATAGCAGCACCATCTTGAAAGGAAGATGGAGAGTAATATGTAGCTCTTATATCCATTATAGCAGAAGCCCTCAATAAATAAATAAAGTACTAGTGGAATTTTTATTATTTTTTTTTAATTAAC